GTCCACTGCTGAACATAGACCTCCCCCATATATTACCTCATAGGGGGGATATTTTCCATAGTTGTGATGCAAGTACCCATTTTCCAACCGCAGTTTCTTATTTTTAGTAATTATAAGGAAGATGCTGCTGGTGAACAGCAGCATTCTGATTTGTTTCCCTCTGTTGCCTCCTTCGACACCCACGGGATGATATGGGGTTGTAGATATTCTTACACCGCCACTACTCGGTAGAGAAATAAAAATATTTCGAGGATATATGAAGTCTGCTAATACACACTGGAGCAACGCGGCGGACTTATTGCTCAATAGCTCTCTCAGAAATAAGAGGAGGGCTGTACTTTTTTTAAAGTAGAAGCAAAAACACTACGTTTTCGGCACCTTTCTCCTCTCAACTTTGTCCTCGCGTTGAACGGCTGTCTTATTATTGCATAGAGTAATTTATTTCTTGCAAAAACAAATTTTTATTCTTGATTTAAGGTCAAAACTTGCACTTTGTTGATCATTTATTTGTTCATCCATATTCATTTGTTTTCACTTTAGAGTGGAAATTGGAAATTGAATAAAAAGTTATAAAAAACCGTCTAGTATTTTGCGACACGAATCCATAATAGCAGTTGTATTTCTGCTTTGTGATAATTAAAAAGTCATTCCAAATTCATAATGAGTCAACATGTTCTTGAAAAGTTCTACTCAATACATTATTCACTTTCGTTATATCGATGAATATTGCGCAAAATTAATTATAACGTTATGTGATTTATTGTAAAATTAATATTGAATTGATAATATGGAAATTTGGTATATGTATTATAAACATGATCATTACGTCGTTTGTATATTTAAAAATATTAAAACTTACTTTTTGAAGACACCAAAAAAAAAAGAAACAAGAAAAAATTATTGTTTTCTATTTTACAGCCTTGCATAGTCTCAACAAAAGAAGTTTTTGACTCTCCTGACTCTGTTTACATTGTGTTAGAGTTAATGCAGGGTGGTGAACTATTTGATCGAATCTCAAAACAAGGACAGTTATCGGAACAACTTACAAGGTTCTTCTTCAGGCAAATTGTGCTGGCTGTGAAATACCTACACTCTCAAGGCATCACTCACAGAGACCTAAAAGTAATATCTTGCTATTACCTTAAATAATATGAAATCTGATTTTTTTCTGATTTTTTTTATTTCATTTTAGCCTGAGAATGTGCTACTTGAGAGTAAAGAAGAAGAAACCTTAGTAAAAATCACCGATTTTGGCTTAAGCAAATTTGTAGGTGAAAATAGCTTCATGAAGACAATGTGTGGAACACCTTTATATTTGGCACCAGAAGTATTAAGAGCAAATGGACAGAACTGCTATGGACCAGAAGTCGATGTGTGGAGCTTAGGAGTTATTTTTTTTATTTGGTAACTTATTTATATTTAAAAAAAAATTAACGTATGATTGCTATGAAATACAGATTGGTGACAAGTGAACTTTCATTACTCACATTTCATTCTATTAGGTGACATACTCGTAATTGTAGAATTTACTTTACAATTAACGAAAAAAATAAGCTTTGCACTAAACTGACCTAAAGAAGTCACAATATCTCTTACGTCGCTCGGCGAGCTATGGAGAAGGCTAACCTCGGAGTTTCTCTCTGTGATAAACAGAAATAAGGATATCCACAGTAGATCCAGAGTAACCGACATAGCCGAATGGATCAGTAAGATGAAGTGGCAATTAGCCGGCCATATAGGGAAGAAAGGTTCTTGAGTGGCAGCCTTGCACTGGTAAGCCAAGTGTAGGGCGACCCTCCTCTAAATAGAGTGACACCCTGGTGATCAGCAGTGAACTTGTGATGGCAGAAATCATTTTGGTAAAGGTCAACTATCCATAATTTTTTCCTAGTATAAAAAATTAAATTGTGTATATTTTATAATACAAAGGTATCTCATACATATATATCAAGCATACATATCTTCAAATTGTAAAATATTATTATTTATATCTTTTCAGTCTTTCAGGTTACTTGCCATTCTCTCCTGATTATAAAAATCTTACACTAAGAGAACAGATCTTAAGAGGACAATACAAGTTTTCTGCTGCACATTGGAAAAAAATAAGTTTGCCGGCCAAACTACTAATGAAAAGGATGTTAACTGTGAATGTTGACAAACGGATCACACTTGACGAAATCCTCAACCATAGCTGGATGCAGGTACATTATGGTTGATAATTTTGTGAATAAGCAAATCATTTATTCTATTTTATTGTTTGTCATTTTTCTGACAAATTCCATTAGTTGACTTTTATGACACTAACAGGGCGTAATGGAGTGATGTAATAGATACTTTTCCACAAACACAAAGTGGGAGATCACTTGAATTCACTATGTTGGTAAAAATATATGTACCTAAAATTAATTTTCAACAAATGTTTCTATAAGAATAAATTTCAAAAAAAGTCATTTAATTATTAATATTATGTTATGTACGTATTGCAGAACAATAGTACATATGAATTTTTATTGACTATTTCAGGATCCCATTGTGATTATGAAAATAGAGAGGCTACTCATTGAATCTATGCAAGTAAAAGACTTCAGTCAGTTGACCGTGTATCAAAATTCTGATGAGGAAAATAATTCTGATAGTGTCACTGCAAGGCATGTGACTACAGCAAAACGGGCCTTGAGTGACATATACAGTTCATGTGAACCTATTCCAAAAAAACTAAGAATTGACACATGTAAAATTCAAAATGATGATACAAGGTCAACAAACAGTTATGGTTCAGAAGAATAACTTATGTACCTTTTAAGTAGGTAGATGTTACCTTAAAACAATGTTGAACATTAAATATTTGACCATATTTTATGAAAATTTAATATTTCCACCGACAGGTATTTTTTATTTTAAAATGCCATATTGTTATAGACTTTAAATATATAAATATTTGATTTTAAATAATTGTTACTTAATTGATGGTGCCTTGTACTTATTGATTTTATTTGAATAATTGTTGTTGATGACTTGTATTTGTTATATTATTATTGTAATGTTAAGTGTAACGATGCCTACAAATGATGGCACTTCATTTTAGCTTTTAAAATTATAAAAAATGTTTAAGATATCTATAATGACAAATACTTCTTTGTTTGTTAACAGTGATATTAAATGTGAAGACAAATATAGCTTACTAGATAATCCAGAATTTATGAATGAGTAATACTATTCAGCAATTGTTTTTATATTTTAAGAAAAACTTAAGAGCCCAAATTTTTATTAAAATTTAAAATATAAGGGCTGTGATTTAACCTTATCATTGATTCTTTAATTTTATGTCACTATCTCACGACTCAAATATTTTGCAATTAGATTAAAATAGTGTAAGAAAAGTTATAAGTTTAATAATTAAAACCCACCGAATGTGCCATATTCTCATCATGTGTAGTGTTATATTCTCAAATGTGATTAAAGTGGATAATTGAACATGCTTTATTTGAGCAATAAAACTGCAATTTTGAAAAATAAAGTATATTGTATTTTTCAATTTCTTCTAAACACGACACTATTTACAAAATGAAACACCCATTAATTTATTAGAACAAATTTAAACAATTCAGTCTTTGACAATACAATTCAGTTCAACTTGCATTGCAAATTTATTTGAATTAAATTTTGTTATTACAGCTTGTTTTTAATTCCGGGTGTGGTACCCGTAGAGATAGAGACTTGTAAATGTCAAACACAATAAATAATGTTGTTACATTCATTATATATTCTTTTTGGATCATTTGAATCAAAAAATTGTAAATGTGTATTGCATTTAACAAATTAACTTTTAGTGAATGTAATTTACAGTAAAGTAAATTGCGTTCACTAAAAGTTAATTTGTTAAATGCAATATATTTCAAGATAAACTTTTCATTATTCAACGTAATTATGATATTTTATCTTATTAATTAAACTACCTGCCACCCGTTGCCATTTTATTTACATCTTACTATGCTCATTGCTTTCACTTTCCCGTCAGTTTTTCGGTAAAGCCCATATTTTAAATACTATTCAATATTGATTCCCAATACTGAAGATAAGTATTTAAGAATTAAATGTCAATTTAGACTCCGGATATAAAAATAAAACAAAGTTTAGACACATTTAAATTATTTTAAAAAATATAATCAAAATATTTCATTAAAAAATTATATGTTTAATACATACATAGATTGTTTTAGTACATCAATATTAATTTTACAATTAAAACAGTTTGATAAATAAAACATATTAGCAATAATTTAAATAAGTAAACCTGATATAAAATATATTTATTCATAACAAGTGCTTGAGGTAATATATTCCAACATGGGTGACAACAATGCATTAACTACTATGCACTCATTGCATGTGTATAAAGCAAGTGCAAGGATATTCGACGTTTAATATTATTAAATCCGTTACAGTCACATATTAAATGAGAACATTACATAACCCAGCTTATATTTAGATACTTCAAATTTAAATAGTTAAAGTGAATGTAAAAATGCCCATAAACAAGTTAATCATGTAATGTGAAAATAAATACGATGAATAAGGTAATGGGGTATGAAAGCCAATTTGTATTTGTATTTAGAAATAGAAATTGATCTACTAACTTAAAAATTATTCTGAATAAATTAGTTTAATTAAGTAGGCACATATGTTTTATCAGAATGTGATGACTCGTCAGCTGAGCCCTACAAAGAATTTAAATTCTACATTCTATCTCACTTTAATTGGTTTCACACAGGCTGCTGACCCACTCTATTTATGTACACATATGCTATGCATTACGAATCAGTCTTTAGCATGTTACAATCAAATTACTATATATTTGCTGTCATAATCCACATGGTGGCAATTCATTATCTAACAAAAATTAGTCATTTGACTAAGGAACATATTTGATAATGAAAGTTCACAGCTCTCATAAATCTATTTCATGAAATAGACTGACATGTAGTATTATTATCATTTTCCTATTCACCAACCACATTCTCTTCATGGGCTTGAATGTGTGAGGGCTCGCTATTTCGTGCTTCCGAATCTATAAAAAATAATGTGGACTATTAATCATGAATATAAAACAAGTATGATTAATTGTGACATCTTCGACCTCGTGATGCATGATGGAAAAGCTAATGTCATGCACACCAAGCTTTCATGAGTATTCACTCACCAGCTTTTACAGATTAAATTATTTTTGATGACACTGAAACAATGTGAAGATGGTATAAAAGAAAGTAGATTGGACTTTGAGAAAAAAATATTGTTCTAAAATTAACTCACCGGCAATTGCTCTGTCCACTTTCTGTTTATCTCTGACTATGTACTTTGATGTCATCAAAAATAACGCTCCTCCTAAAACTTCGACGAAACAGGTTACAAAAAGTGCATATTGTAATGCTCTAAACTGTACACTCTGGCTTGGTGTCTCCATGTGTCCTGAACCTAATGATTTCTTCAAACTCTCAGATATCTGAAAATAAATAAATTTGCCATGTTGTTCATTTTTATTATTTGCATAACAGAAAATATGGAAAACGGTTTTCAAATACATCATTTTTAATATTATATTATTATTATTAGTAATGTTTTAAAAATGGACTGAATTTTGTACTTTTATTTAAGTGCCAGTCAAAAATTGCCTGGTATTTTCTCGGAATCAACATGTATTCTAATTTGCTAAGTACATGCAAACATAATACAGAAGCCGAAGCAGAAAAAACTGTAAAAAAGGACAACAGTAAAAGTCTAATAAAAAATAAATAAAAGTAACTATATTTTGTTAAATTAAAATAGAATTACGTTAAAAAATTAATATTATGTTTTTTCTTTTACAAATTCTCTGTTGTATAGAACACGCCATGTAATTATAGTTATTATTTTATAAATTTTCATGCTTTTGATAAGTAGTAAAGTTGTCCCAACAAGAGAATGAACTTGGATGCCCTTAATTTCTCTCGCACCCTAAAGACTTACGCCTCGTTACCAATAAAAAGTGCTCTCCGGTCCTCTACACTTACTATACGAAAAGCAGCAGCATCAAGCTGCTATTTTATCTGGTATTTTGTGCGAGCGTAGTCCTTCCCTGGTTGTGTCAACCCATTCGTACTACAAATACAAACATACAGTGTGGCTCTATCACGACAAATTCTTTTCTATCACCACCTGATTACTTTAAATCTGGCATACGCAACGTGGTTATATCCGGATTGTTCTATCATTTATTTTAATTGTGACTAAAACATATGAGGCTAATTATGATCACTTACCACTCCTACTAAATAGGGACTACCAGCATCCCCAAGCATATGTGATATAAGAATTTGGAAAGCTTCTGCCGTAGAACGTCGCGGTGGGATGACAACGTACTGTGAATATAATATAAAATGTTAAAATGGAAGATTTCTCTGTTAATATTTGGAGTTAGAATTTTTAGGTTAATAATTCTATTTCTTCAATTTAGATTAAACGCTATCGTAGTTATTCAAGACAGTGTTAGAGAACATAAAGCTAAAGAAATGTTATATGCAATATCTACGACAGAATATTCATATTGTGCACAAAATATTTTTTAATTTTGTGCTTATTTACATAAAACATTCTGGGCGTAATTTTAGATACGTCCTTGTTATATTTTGAAGTCATAGAATTATTATTAAATTATGTTAAGCATTAGCGCCATCTATTGTTACTATGTACTACTAATGCAAATAGTAGTGTGCTAAAATAGTATATAGAGTAATATTGCAAACCACTACCACTAGATGTCGCTATAAAGAAACAAGAAATCAGTCACTGAATAAGAACTTCAAGATTAGAAGATATTATATTCCAATGAGAATACAACATAATATTGTAATTTTTATAATCATTTCTTTACGTGTTTAAAACAACGAAACTACAGACGTACTCATGAGTGACTGACTTCACACTTTTAATGGATGTGAAACAAGCATGATTTACTAAATGTTAAGGATGCTTCTAATTAAGGCATGCATGAAGGTTTACTATACCACCACCATTTTAAAAGCATTATAAAAATGCACAGCTTTCAAATGTTTTTAGCCTTATCGATAACACCGATTAAAACATTCAAAATTCGAAAAATACTATTATGATCAAGAAGTTCGAAATAAAACGCTCTACAATTTCGTTTCACACAACACACTTCCATTACCAATAGTAAAACAATAAAATTACAGATTGTACAACAACTCGAACCCATTACAAGAACATACAGATAGAAAATTGAATAAAGCCAAAAACAGACGAAAACCCGTCTCGCGGCGCTTACCAGCGACATATCGGCTACGATTGCCCAGTTGAGATTCAAAGCGACCTCGCCAATGAACATGAAGACGAATGGCGCGTAGAAATAGTTCTGGGTGCAGAGCATCCCGAGCGCCATCGCGGGCGCCGACACGAGCAGGCCGGCGCCGCACAGCACGGCGTGCGCGCGCGGCCAGCGCTTCACCAGCGCCGCGCCCAGCCACGCGCCCGCCGGCACGCCCACCAGCCCCGACGCCATCGTGATCCCGCCGAACATTAGCGACACCCTTCGTGCAACATCGCTCGTATCAACACATGCACGCGTCCCTCTTCGCTCGATGCACGTCGGCGTGACCGAACCACGCTTTTATATCTATACGATAGCTGACATCCCAACCAATTTATAAAAAAAAATATCTAAGCTGGCACGTGATTAAATGCGATGAATTTGTAGTAACGTTGAGCTAGCTACAATCTAAATTCATGCACACTAAAACACTTTTTTTTTTAATATGGATAGCAGCTATCGTGTAAACTTAAAAGTAACTTAAAATTTAAATATCTATGCAATATTAGCGATGATTGTAATATTGTTTAGTATGCTATTCATGCTATACACAGCTGGAATGAACCGATTAGCGATGGCACTTGATAACAATTCTATGATGTGTGAAGTGAAACAGTTCTCCTAATCAGTGCAACCATGAGTACGAAAAAATCAATTTGTTAAGATATGCAAAACAACGCCCGATTTTATAAGTTACGGAACACGCGCCTCATTGAAATAACTTGACGATGACTGATTCTCGGCTCCTTAGTTCAGGAAACGTTTCGTTCTCCGTTTAATCAGTATTACTTATATTCGATGTACATGTAAAATCCTTTTCTATCACAAACAATCCGTTCAGCACTTTACGACTGTATTATACTTTTTTAATATACCAGGTTTTTTTTTCATGTTTTTACATTGTCATCCGAATCTATGTTCAAGATTTCAAGTTTCTAATTAATCGGAAAGTTAGTTTAAAATCAATTACTAAATTCGACCCGAACCAGACATACACGAACGCGGTAATTAAATCGGCGTAAGACAATTTTTTCATGCAGCACGCGCCGTGCTGAGAGATGAGGGAGAACGAAACATCTCTAGAAGCGAGTTGAGATTGTGTTGCGGGCGTTGCGCTCACCAGGACGACGTCCGCGACGATCGACCAGGTGAGGTTGAGCGTGAGCATGCCGAGGAACATGAGGAGGTAGGCGAGCGCGTGGTGCGCGCAGACGGCGAGCAGCGCGAGGTAGACGAGCGGCGCGGAGGCGAGCAGCGCGGCGCCGCACACGAGCGCGTCGGCGTGCGCCGCGCGCGCGCGCAGCCGCGCCGCCAGCGCCGCGCCGCCCGGCACGCCCAGCGCGCCCGCCGCCATGCCCACCAGCCCGAACTTGTACGACACGCTGCCCCACCAACACACTGCTCACTAACACTAACATACTACGCCCATACCATATCCGCCCCCGCATTTACTAAACATTAACGCATTCCTCCGCTTTCTTGCTCAATCAACTATACCTACATTGCTTACTAGCTTACTACGCTAGTCCAGAACGATATCCGCCCGGCATTTTAGTAGATATAAACGTATTCCTCTGGTTTCTTCTTGGATCAACCATACATTACTTACTAAGTTACTACGTCGTTCCAGGAGAATATCCGCCCGGCTTTTAGAAAATACATATAAATTTGTAAGTCTAATTCCTCCCTGGATCTACAGTCTATTTCCACCAATGCCACGTTTCTATGTTTTATTTTTTTCTTTAAATTACTTTTTTATGAAATACAATAATATTTAAACGATATAGATTATTACATAGTAATTATTAAGACATGTTTTTAATTACCATTGGTTCGAATAATACCTCTTTCCTGGGAAGAACCAGTAAGAAACCAAACAATAGTGGTGATTTAATATTGGTGGAGCCACGCGGCAGCTTTTGCTGTCGCACGGATGGGCCGGCTCGAACCGGGGTGGTACCACGACCTCACAGAAAACCAGCGTGAAGTAGAGGTTTACCTCTACGCTTCGCTTGGTGAGTGCAGGTGGCCGGAGGCCCTTTTTACTGGAAATGAGGTATTCCTTCTAAGTCCTCACGGGTGACAACGCATCTACATCTTGATTTGTAATAGAGGATAGATGTAGATGTCTATGGGCCACAGCGACCACTTACCATCAGGTGGACTGTGTGCTCGTTTGTCACCCTTATTCTATATAAAAAAAAAACAAGATTAATTTTTTCAAACTGGGAACCTTTCAAAATTACTACAACTGCCAAATTATATCTCCGTTATTAAACATCCAGCAAAAAAAAACGAATATAAAAAAAGAAAAACACAATTCTTCTTATATTATTTCTTGAAAAAAAACTCGGTCTAGTTTTAAAAAAAGAAACAAGAGAATACGGAAATAATGATTTCGTCAAATTTTCACAGCCACAATCAGTACGAACGGCAGCTGTCTCATTCGGTTACCTAACTCAGCCGTTTGGACAAAGCGCGACAGCAATAGATCTATATCGTACCACTAAAAAACCTATTGTTCAAATTTCTTACAACCCAGATATCCTCCTAACACTATAAATACACTACGTAGTACAATATAAAATAAAAATGGAGATGAAAGTTTATCCAAGCGCACCGCAATGACTTTCATTTGATGATTTATGATCATCTGTCTATGTAGAGAAGACCGTCTTTCAAAGAATGTAAATAATTATTTTTCAAATCTCGCATCCGAATAACAATGAATTTGTCACGAGTAAAATATTTTCTGCTACAAACTACTTTTTTATCAATATTAAAATTGTTAGCGGGTAAAATTGTTCAGTAATTACATGTATGAAATATTTATTTATTTATTTGTAATATATGCTCAATAAAAACACGCTATAAAATTACAAGGAAATCAGCAAAACACTATTAGTACAGCAACTTTATAAATCAATCAATGCATATATGTCTGTTTACATTAACTGAAGACTAAACAGATAGTTATAATACGGCCGACGTATCTTGGCGAGTCTGAATATAGGCTCTGCGAAGTTTAGCGCATGAACACTCGTGAAGAAAACTGTTATTGTCATTTTTTTATATATACCAATGTACAAATAAAATTTCCCTAATACAGTGACCAAAAATATCAAAACACTTTGGAGACATTATAAATTAAAGATTCAATTTTGATACCTCACCTTTCGATAGGGGCAGATTTTATCACAAACACATACAATATTATTTACATTTAATACTTTTTATTTATTTACACTTATTATTATTTAATCACTGTCGCTGAGGGGGGAAATTCCTAACATAAAGTCGTCGGCCCCTTGTGTACCATGTGAGGTACTTGGCATAGGTTCATCTTCGTAATCGTCGCTCTCACTTTCAGACTCACTTTCTGAATCTGAAGCTGTATTAATGATGAATAATTGATCCGTCATTTCGTCAATAATATGGTCGCTCTTCCTATAGTCATGTTCGACCTCTTGCACTTTTCTGCATAAAGCACTCCATTCATTCTGACCCATTAAATTTACTTTTTCTTGTATGAGCTCCATTGTCCGGGTTACGTTCCAGTCGACGTTTTTAGCGGCTACGTGCCCTTTAATGGCAGCCCACACCATCTCGATGGGGTTTAAATCGGGATGATATGGGGGTAAACGAAGGACATCGTGGTTGTTTTGTTTAAACATTTCATCTATTACGTATTTTTTATTCACGTCTTTGTTTTTTTTTATTAGATCGTAAAGTTGTGGTTTACGCATGTCCTTTTCATATGGTATACCCTTTTCTAATAACCACGATTCCATTTTTGCCTTCTTGTCATTAGATGTAGGGGCAGGATCCATTAATTTGTTGTGGTACGGAGCATTATCGATAACCACCACCGAGTTAGGGCTCAAATTTGGAATCAGTTGGGTCCGTAACCATTTCTCATAATTTTTGAAATTCATGTCATCATGATAGTCTCCGGTTTTGCTGCCAGATTTGAACATTAGTAGCGCGTTCGGAACAAACCCTGCTTCTGACCCAGCGTGTACCATCACTATCCGCTGACCTTTTGATATCGGGCGCTTTAGTCCTTGAGCGGAACCATCTGACCACGCCTTACCTTTTGTATGTGATGAGTGGGCATACGACTCGTCAGTGAATACAATTGGTCGCCCTTCGTCCCTGTATTTTTTCATTGCCTTCAAGTACAAGATCCTTTTCAGGCGAATGTCGGTCTTCTCTATAAGAACCATTCTATTGGTTTCGGTCTTTCGCCACTTGAAACCCAAGTTTTTGATAATTGTCTTTAAGCTCGTTTTACCACCTTGAAAATTTATATCCCGTTTGAGTTTCGCTAGTAATTTGTTTATCGTCGGCATTTCTTTTTCAGTTTTGTGGAAGTTGTGTATGCATCTTTTTACTACTCCCTGGTCAAAATTATCCATATCAGTAATAGGTTTTGATCTAGACCTTTTTTTACCAGGCGTGCGGAATACTGAAAGTAAGCCCGAAATATTGCCTTCAGTTGCGATCCGCTGTACTGTGCGTTGGGACACACCAGTTGCGTTAGCAACTCTTAAATAAACTTTATCGACATCTTTTACGCCTTCTTCTTTTTCTTTTTTCATATATTGCGTTAAATCGTAAATAATTTTTCTCGCCTGGCGATTTAACACACTGTTATGTTTTGGTGGCATGTTTGGCGAATAATATAAGTGCTAACTGACACTTGCAAATAAAACAAATAAAACAAATAAAACAAACAAAACAAACTTAACACTATTAATAAAAACAAACAACAATAACAACGAAAACTTTTGTAACCGACTGTGCTCAAGACAGAGATAGCGACACGAACACGACACCAATGCTAACGTGTGACTGAGAAATATTACCGTGTACCGAGCATTGCCGAATAAGCACGAAGCTTTACGAAGTAACCAGAAAGGGATGTCCAACACGCGTGCCTGAGGGTGTTGTTTAATCGATTTTTATTCAAATCGATTAAAATTAAGACATAAAAATATATTTATTTGCAATTTATAAGGAGGTTCTAAATTTTCTCAAATAGTCGTTACTCAAGAAGACGTTAATAGATAATTGATATTTAAGTACATTATGTCTTTCAGCTGAGAAAATAATATGTTTTTAGTTTTTTTTTTTTATTTAAGTCGAAATCTTGTTTATTATCAACAAAATTCACTATATTTGTAAATCTATTTCGTTTAATATCTTATATAAACAAAAATCAATAACTTCTAAATAAAACTAATCGATTGCGATATTTTATGACTAAAGGGTCGATTGTGTTTACTTATGGTCAATCTCTAGCCTAGACCACCGCCCCCCGTACGTCGCCTCATGCCACCATTTTGTTCCTTAAAAAAGCTATTGCGCAACCTTCTGCGCGAAGGTCGGACTCGCCAAGATACGTCGGCCGTATTGTAGTAGCAGTTATTTATACCTAAAGTGTCTGCTCCGAATACAATGCGATAAAAGTGAGGTTAATATACCATTAAACACAATATTAACAAATTATAAGAATCTGCACGTGATATTTTGTATAAATTTATTATTATGATATATAAAGCGCTATAATGGTAAAAAGTTGATCGAAGTTTCTATAATAAATAACACCGAATCCTGTGACAATATTTCCACACAAAGACAAAATATCTAGTGATATAGCAATGCCTGAAAACACGGTAAGTATAATGAAGTAGGTAAATGTAAGTTTATGAAATAATTAAGAGAGGTCTTATAATGCAATGGTTAATTTCAGCGTACAGTTTCGTAAATAAGAACACATCCTTCTCTATCCTCACATTTAATATATAAGAGAAAATGCGGGTGGTCTTTTCTCCATTTATACGCTCTCGCCTGCTTTCTTTCTGGTTTATCACTTTTTACAGTAAAATAAATATCAACTTCTATGTCCCTACATTTTCCTTTTTGGTGATACATTATCTTTATAATCACAAAATGCTCAAAATTGCCTATTTAGACCGCTGTCAACAGAGGCCTAGTGTTAAAATTTTATAACTAACACTGAAAAAAGAAAAACATAGGGAGATAGTGTATATCCTTCTTATTCAGTTTATGAAATATGTTTTAAATTCGCCCAATATTGGAGGAGGAAATGGTAGAGAACTAAACCTCGAATTATGCCTTTTTACTTAGGCTGAATAGTCGGATCTGCAGTTGTCCTTATTGGACGTCGAGCGCTTGCAGGACAGCCCGCATTTCCTATCTGACAGTACTAAAATGAGACTAAGTCAAACGGACATGACGTATTATTTCTAAATGCTAGCAATACACTTGCCGAGGCAATTGTTCAATTTTACTTGACTCCTAATGGGTATTGTAATGTCGCTAATTAACAGTTTTTGTACAGAGCTTTCCAACTCGCTCTTTTCACGTAAGTATTTACCTGAGAATACATGCTTAGCAAAAGTAATTTTGCAATGCACATATACAATAACATCCGTATTCACAAGAACTGGTTTAAATATGAGAAATATTTTTACAGTCGAGTCGACTCGTAGCCTAAATGAATTAAAACTTCGTGTAATACTAGTAAGTGCGTAAGAAGCTCACCTTTCTTTCGTTATGTTGACATCCGGTTGCAGAGTGAGTCCTAAGTAGATGAACTGCGGGCCCCACCATGCGAGCGCGCCCGTTACGAACGCGACGCAAGTGAAGGCCAGTGTTGACAGCATGAACGATGGACTGTAATGTGCAAAGAATGATGACATCAATCATTTAATAAGTTTATAATTTTAGAGTTTTTTTAATGGAGGACCTTAAAATTTTAAACACTTCTGAACACACCCTCCCAAATTGAAACTATGGATCCTACTGTATGAAACTCCTTTGCAAAAGAGTTAATTAAAAAGGTTCAGCTGTTATTACTCGTAATTGATTATCAATAGCTCCAGCTTTTTGCTGTAGCAAAAGTTGATTTGAGTATTTCAGTGACAAAATAAATAGAGGCTCACCATAATTATTCTAAGACGTAAATTGCCAGAGACAGATAGGTAGAAAAATCAAATGATACTAAAGTTCAGTGCGTTTGAGATAAATAATAATTAAGTAAGCATCATAAACGCATATCATTTTAAAAAACACAGTTACCCCTACAACAGGAATTTCTCCTGGATTGTGGAGGCGTTTTACATACATAAATTGCACGAGTACATACATCCAAAACCGGAACATTATTTGTATGTCATACAAATACTTGTTTCGTGCGGGATTCGAACCCGCGACTCTGCAGTGATGCAACCAATAACCAATCGCTATACACTGTGCCACTGAGCCGTTAAACGCATATGTCATTGGTCAATAATATTTTCGAGAAGGGAACACGGAACAATTTAGTATAAAGGGTGGCGATGGGGTGCGCCGAATGAATAACATCCCCACAATTGTGTTATGAGAAAGTATTACATTCCCGCTACACGCAACTGAATACATATATTATAGCATAGCTGTATAATATACATAATTACAGTCACGCAACCAAAGAATCATTCATCATATATAACCCCGTGGGTGTCTTAAGAGGCGACAAAAGGAAACAAATCAGGAGCTGGGCAGCAGCGTCTTCCTAATAACGACTAAAAATAAAAAACTGCGCTTGCCAAGCGTGGCAACTATGGCTAATATCCCCCCTATGGCTATGAGGCAATCTATGGGGGAGGCCTATGTTCAGCAGTGGACTTTAAGAGGCTGTATAATAACCAAAGAAAATACAATATAATTACTATATATAGTATATATTAATATATACATAAAACACACCTACATTTAAGTACGACAATTTCAAAATAAAAGTAGTATAGATATAGCAATCTGGACAAAATCGTCATCTAAATTTTTAAGAGATTAAAAATATTTACGATGATTTAAAGTTTGTGAAAGTATAATTTGTGTCTATAATTTTTAACCATATTTTTTTCTTTTTACAAAATATATTATAAACAGAAAGTGACTCGTTAGCGCAGTGGCTAAACATAAATGACTGCATCATTGCGCGGCTGTAGGTTCGCGAGCCAAGTGCAATTTTCTCGGTTCTAGTTGCTCAATTTGAGCAATTTATGTACTCGTATTTAAAAAACGCCTCCGCGATACAGGGAAAATCCTAGTTACTTTACGAGGGGTAACTTAATTTAACAATAAAAATATAAATAAAAGTAATTTAGCTTTCAGATCTGTATATATGCATAAGTGGTTCCGATTGAATGAATAATTGAAAGAAAATGACATTCTTGCAAACAGTGAAACTAATGATGGATGAATGAAGGCCTTTAAGCATAAGTGGATGTAAGAGGCGACAGAGGGAAACTGAAACAGGAGATGGGCAGCTTACAACTTAAAATTATAAAAAACTGACGTTGCCAAATGCCAATCCACTTGCCAAGCTTAAATTCATACGGGTTAAGCAAAGCAACATGATTTTTTTTATAAATATGAAATTTAAGATATTATATTGAATTTTTTGTAAGCTTGTTAAATAAAATTTTATTTAATGTTTTAAAACTATGTAAACGTATATAAACAAATAAGCAAAAAGACTTCTACTTGTAATTCCACTAATTGTCTAATGCAATATAATTGTCGTTCGATTTTATCACGCCACTTGGCATCCAATTACTTTAAAAGGCGGCCGCATCACTGCTGTGCTGTTTGCGATCCGGGCTATTAAGCCCCGTCTCCACCAAAAATGTTGACAACAGTTATGTTCCAACAAGCGTCTCCACCGAGGGAACAAATGTTGGCAACAAGCGGCAACAAGCGTATTCCTTTGATGTTGCCGCCGAAAATGTAAACAAGTTTTGTTGGCAACTGTTGTGTTGGCAACAAATCTTTGGTGGAGACGCCGCTTTAGGAAAAACTCGATTGTCAATGTTGGGCGAGCATAACCCGCCCATTTACAATACTTATCTTGACCTCAGGTTACGTTTAGGATTAAAAAATAATTCCTGAAATTTTACTATCCAAACATCTTAACAAGATTAATAGTTGATTGTCTGCTTAAGCTTACACTATTGATGAATTTTAGTATTTTAGTATCATTGTCAAATGATAAAAATATATGGATAACTTTTCCATGGTTTTTAACATATCATTTTAATATTTGTGTACTAAATTCTTACTTAGTAACATGTGAAGCGTAGATCTCTCACAGGTACGATAAAAATAAAATAAAAACTAGCTGATAACCGCGACTTCGTCCGCGTTGCTTACACACATCACAGAACACATAGTGCTTATAAAGATCGTTGTTTCTTACAACTTTCATAACTTTATATTAAATGAAAATATCGCAATTTTTTTTTAAATAAGGGCCAATTGTCTAAGAAATAAAACTTAGAAAACGCGCACAACTGCAAACCTCTATCATTTTTTTATTTATATAGATAATATCACATAAAAAGATATAAAGAGATCGGGGATGTAAGTTCTGGTTTCACGACGCATTTTGAAAAATATACAAACCACTTTACTTTACTTTTTAGAGCTATTTCTAAAGGAAGACCTTAAAGCGAACACAAAATTAACACTAATTACATATATAAAGGTCACCTTTAACCCCGCTTAATTCTACCCAATTATTTACACAAAATCAACCTATCTATAATAATCCAAATAATAATACATTTTTAAGCCGTGTTAATACGTACTAGGTGTACGTAGTACTATTATTTATTATGTGATGTTAGTCAATTGCGACGCTATTAATCATATTAAAAAAAATCATTTAATAAAATAAAATAAAATAATATCTGAACTCCGACTTCAGAATTTGAAAGAATTTTATCCTTTTTAATTATTTGAAGTCAGCTTTATCATTACATCAAAAAAAATTACTATTTTGAGTGAACAAAGGAAAATCTCAATCTCAATTCTCAACGTCGTTTAAATATGTAGTTACATTAAAAACTAATTTCCTGTTTTGCAACTCTTAGGGAACCCCTGAATTATCTCTATAGAAACCCCTATAACGTATACGTAACATACATATTATACAAAAGAGTAAAAGAAAAACACACAGTCGAATTGTAGACTCCTTTTTTTAAAGTCGGCTAAAATTGACGAGATTATCGAGATTAATCATTATTAATAATTATGAATAAATTTTAAATTACTCTAATTTTAACTCTAATTAATTTGAGTAGGTGTCGTTTTACTTACTTTCTGACGAGTGCCCGAAGGTCTTCTGTATAGGATGTAGGTTTTATGTTGCTTTCCTCAGCCTGACCACGTTCAGGATCCTGCATCACCCATGCTATGAGTACTACAGCCACCGCGCCCAGGAAAGGGGTCACGCGGAGCCCCCATCGCCAATTGCCAGCGGCGGCGCCCGCCACTGACCCAACTATGTACCCGAAACCGCTGTAATATAAATTTTAAGTTTTATAAGAATTGCGAAACTCAGATATCCTACATTACTAGGTACTACCACCTACTTTATTAAGTGGGATGGCTCCCTTTCAGCCAGGGGCCTGAGTAGATACCACCCTGTTACGTATTTCCTCCACCAAGCTGCAATACATCCTACAGCTAGTTAAAAGGGATATAAAGAGCCAGCATAAGTACAAAACACAGTATTTTAGTAAAGTCAAGCCAGGAACCGTTTAACACATTCGTGTTTATAATTCTACCGCACGTTAATGTAAAGTAATCCTGTCATTTCCTTATCTGGTCTTAATCTTTATTTTTTAGCAAATTTCAATTAAAACTCATATATTAATAGATTTTATTTAACTTAAAAAAGGCCGGCAACGCATCTGCAATTCCCTCCCTGGTGTTGCAGTTGTTCATGGGCGACGGTAGTCACTTACCATCAGGTGAGCCGCATGCTCGCTTGCCCCCTATCCTATAAAAAAAAAAAACTAATCTTAAAATTTAAAAATGATATATTAAGGCAAAAATAAAAAAGCAAGCAGCGGATTTTGACTGTAATGATTTTTTTTTTAATATTACATAAATCCATTGTTCTTTTGAGTATTTTGTTCAAGGAAAATCTGTTTTACGAACGTTTCCTTTAATAACACACTTTCTTGTTTGTTATTAATCATAGCAGTAAAAACTAAAAACTAAAAACTACCATTCACTCATATCGTATAACTGACGTCAGTATCTAATTTATCTCCGCAAACAATTACTCATGCCTCGCTTTAGATTTTACAATATTACTATTTCACGTCACTTGGATTAGTGACATAGGTTCGCCTTATATACGAGTATTGCAAACATTAAATAAATTTCAGTAATGCGTATATTTTATTAATTTATATTACAATTAAATGTGTGCTAAAGGCTGCATAATATGAGAATAGATGTACTCGTATACCAATTTAAAATAAGGTCGATTTTTTTTTTGTATAAAACTAAAGTGACAACCAAACTTTCAGTGCACCTGATAGTAAATGTCTACTGAAGCAATTTCACACAAATAAAACTACAGATGCTTAATAGAATCAGGTGTTACTTTGCAGAAACCTATTATATTAAAGATTTTAACATCTTTTAACTACAGATGCGCCTACGGATTAAAATAGAATGCCACACAGCCTCATACTGGCTCTATACTCGTCAAAAACATCATGAAACAGTGAGAACCATCTTTAAGGATTGTAAAAACATAATGAGCACACGAAAATATTTATTACATTCGCTTGACAATTTCAAGACCATGAAAAAAATATTTCGCGTACTCAAAAAAATAGTAAAGCCAAATTGAGACACCATTGCCCAAAATTAAAAACTTTGGGCAAAAAAAAAATTAACGACATCTTAAAATTGAGTAGCGGACAGACTTGCACAGTTCTTCCACAGATTTGTAGATAACATTCCATGGGTAATTTTTAAAGTTAGCCCGTTTTAATGAATCATAACGATCGTACTGTGCTATTATTAGCTGATGATACTTCATGAGTTAATCTTCAAAGATTTTATCAGACATTTTCGTTAATCTATAACGAAAACTTAAACGCAAAATATTTTTTGTGTTAAAACTTTTGATCTCGTTCTAAATGTTTAAAAAACACATCCCACCAAAAAGATTTAAAAAGACAAAAGGGGCTCATACGACGTTCTAAGTTGTCGAATTCACCGATAAAAAGTTGATATCTGAACGGATGTGAAGCTCCATCGCAGTTCCTTAAACCATTTTTAAAAGTAATATAAGATTGTACAATATGTTCAGTACTGTACTTGAAACTAATTGCACCAATAACATTATCGACACCGAATATCCATAGTTCTTAAAAATATTTCCATTGCTTTCTATAAGTCTAATCTACCTTGTTGTCAAATTTCAAATTTCTAAGTCAATCTGACTTAGAAACTTGTAATTTGATATCAAGATAGATCTTGGTAGATGTTGTTAGTAGAGAAATAGCGATGTTTCCTAATAAAGTCCAACCCAATCAGCTTTTGGGCTTTACAATCAACAATTATATTGATTTAATTATTTCGGTGAGTCAAGTCAAGGCAATACTTTGAAAGCATGTTTAAGTGCAAGGAGGCATCAAAACCAGAAACTCTGAAAGACAAAGAAAGAAGTAGGGTGATAAGTATGAATGAGATAATGAACGCAATGAAAAGCACGAAAGCAGGCGGTTGGACTTGAAAGTATGGTTGGAAATGTGAGGCGAAGAGAGGGAGTGTTAGCAGGTCGGCTGTACACTTTCTTTTTTTTCTTTAGATACATCACTGTATACGAAAAACAAGTCACAACAGAACTATATAATAAAGTTAATAAACCCTTAGCATTGTCGGAAAAAATTGGGATTTGGAAAGAGAATCGGGTGTAAAACTAGAAAATTTACCTTGAATTTTTAGACTTGGAAAAGGCCTGGCACAGAGCCATAAAGTTAACGTTTGCCGTAAAGTTAACCTGGCCAAGGTTAACTTTATGGCACACGCTGAGTTGAGCGCTGGTCTGAAACAGGCATTAAAATTTCTGGGGCTCTAATGCTTTTGTCAACGAGGCCTACACAGACTGGTTTGGCATCCATAAAGGTGTCAGACATGGTTGTGTAGTTTCCCCGTCGCTGTTACCGTTTTAAAAAGGTACAACGTAGATCGTCGGCGGGGTTCCAAATTATTGCACAACGGTTAAAACTTGTTTGAATTTTTATCATAAATATGGTATTCATTTAAAACATCACTGAGGTCCAGTAATCTGATAAAAAGTACTATAAATTGCACCGGGTCACTAATTAACTACATACAAAAAATTCATGACAATTCGCCAAGTAGTTAAGTTTTTGCGTGAATCGTGAACACCTGACCATATTATTTAGAACTATAGTACATAGTTAGTAGTGAAATATGAGAGTAAACTTCACTCCGTGAAGCCAAGCTGGTTTGTTGGTTAGTTATAAAATTTATTCCTTCTTTTAATCGAAAAAATTACTGTAAGCCTACTTGTTCATAAAGTCGTTTTATCAACCAATTCAACAAGCTACACCCATGCCTTTATAGACGATTAAAATCATTGTAAATAATCACAGTGCAAAATAGCCAAGATCCCTTTTTAGCAGATATTCAATAGATTTACTAAGCATTGGAAGTGGTTTGAAATCTTTGAACAGTAGTAACCGATATGATATTATACATTTTAGTTAAGTTGCGTTAAATATACATTTATTAGAACATTGATAAATAAAGCTAAGAAACAAATCAAGCAGAAATATGTATGTATAAACTATCAAAAATAAAATTACCTTCCAACGGGAATAGCAAAATAAAAGAAAGCCAGCATCTTAGAGCGCACGTTCCCGACGAAGAGGTCGCTAATAATGGTTGGGGCGATGGTTGAATACGAAGCTTCGCCGATACCCACCAGCCCTCGAAAGAACGCGAACAGTGCGAAGTTCTGTTGGAAAACACAATTTTAATATTATTATTCTAAAAATACTATAGCATAGTAATGTCTCAGGAAATACTTGGTTACCTGAAGATAATAAGTTCGATAGGTGTAATAGTAATATTGAATAATTAACTGAAAATAAAATAATGTTTTAAAAATATTAAAACTATCACACTGAATATTGATTTTTAGGAAATCATTTTTAAATCATATTTTTTACAAAAATGTATACGATTTCGAAATAATAATAATTAGTCTCCGAGAACCTAATTAAAAATATGGAAACGAGCTTTAGACGAATTACTCGGAAGTAAACAAACTACTTTAATAATAGATATAATAGTTCCTTCAAATTATAGAGCTCGTACATAAGCATAATCTTATACAAGGTCTAATGTCTGTGGTAAAACATTTTTCTTAGGTTGTTTACTTCGTTTTTTAGCGGCATCCGGGACGTCAATTTTACATATTTATAGTTAGTAAACACAAAGTGTAATAATGACAACTATGACAAAATAGAGGGATTTCCGATCTGCAAACATTGATTGACAAGATCACTAGTGATAAATGTCGTTTTCTTATGTTGCTTTTTCTTTTACAACAGACTTATTTTTTCATAGTATACGTGGATTGTTTCTTGTTAGTTAAATTAGTCAAAAATCTAGCTTATACACATCGCAAGGTTGAAAAATTTTAAGTGGTATTCTCCACGCTTCGACGTGCTTAATACGATAATTGATGTACCGTCGAATCCAGCATCATATTTTGTGTATTTCATCTATGGCTGATTTAAGGTGCCGAAAATATAATTAGAGGCCGGGAAAGAGTGACACATCAAAGCTATCCCGGTTGTAATGATATCGACCTAACCTAAGCAGTAATTATATCCCTTTTCTATCGCTTAAAATATTTTAAAATTATTCCGCTATTTTGCCGGATGCCACAAGATTTATTGCCATTTGAATCGACTCAGCCTGGTAGCGCAGTTGCTACGTATTTAGCCGTAGCGCTGCAGGACCGCGGATTCGAATCATTCGGAACAAAACAGTTTGTTCTAGGACCCACAAAACTACTTTTTACGTTACAAAAGAAAATTCTATTGTGCGGAATTGGATAAAAAACAAAAACAAAATCATACCGATATAAAAGAACCAGCGAAGGTTGTAATACTCCACAGTGCGACTCCAAACGCCATTATCATCCGCCTTGAATACCGATCGCCGAGGTATCCGAACATCGGCGCAAACACCATGTAGGCCACCACGAATACAGTCTGCAGGAATCCAGCGCTATCATCGCCGATTTTGAATTCGTTCGTGACATCGCCTAGCACACCTGTGCAAACAAGACATAAATAAATTATTACATAAAAACGATTATGAAATAAAATGTTTATCACTTTATAGTACACGAAATATATATTATTCATATCTATACAAATAAATAAAATTGAATTGAAGTATCTGATTGTAATATCAAAATAACAGATTTTTACTAAATCTATACAAATAAATAAAATTGAAGTGTCTGTTTGTAATGTCAAAATTACAGTTTTTTACTAAATGCATATGAAAGTAAATACGTTACCTATAACTAAAATACAATTTTTAAAATTTTTGTCTGTCTGTCTGTCTGTTTGTTCCGGGTAATCTCCGAAACGGCTGGACCGATTTTGACGGGACTTTCACTGGCAGATAGCTGATTTCATAAGGAGTAACATAGGCTACTTTTATTTTAGAAAAAGAATCAGGGTTCCGCGCAGAAACATAAAAACCCTAACACGCGAACGAAGTCGCGGGGAACAGCTAGTAGTAAATACATATGAAAGTGTATACGGTACTTATAACAAAAACATAATTTTTAAAATTTTTGTCTGTCTGTCTGGCTGTCTAGCTGTCTGTTCCGGCTAATCGCCAAAATGGCTGGACCGATTTTGACGAGACTTTCACTGGCAGAAAGCTGATGTTTGTAGTTCATAAGTTTTCCGTTATTATAACAACTTTATGTTTAAGTGCAATAAAGAGATGTATCTATCTACACGAAATCTGGAACAACTGTTAAAAAGAGGCTATGTATAGTGTTTGTGGTCGTCCTTCACACGCCCTTCAATCAGGAAGCTTAAAATAACTCGCCATGGAGGAGGCTTTGAGCTAGGAGTTTAAAAAAAAAATTAATGAAATATCCCGCAGCACTATAGTAGCCGATAAAACCCAACAGATCAATAAGCTGCAGTAGCTATAGGAAGAATCGATCAATTATGGGGAGAACGGTGTACAAAAGTGGTAGCTTAGTACGACTCAAGCGAATAACGGGTAAGCCATGCAGGAAATCGATGGATGAAGGTGGCTTAGGACCGTGATTTGTGGCAATCCTTTGGTGAGGTGTATATTGATGATGATGATTTTAAGACTAAATATAAACTTTAGTTCACAATTACATATTAAAACAGTTTAAAAATATGATACTGTCTTTAAACCGTGGTAATATGCACAGTTTAATGACAGTGTAATCTTATCTTAAAGTAATATTACATACATAGACCATTATTCATTTTTTATAGGATAGGGTGACAAACGAGCACAAAGGTCTCCTGATGGTAAATTGGTTGCTGTGGCCCATAGACATCTACATCTATCCTCGATTGCGAATCAAAATGTAGATGCGTTGTCACCCGTAAGGACTAAAATGGAATGCCTCTTTTCCAGTAAAAAGGGTCTCCGGTTCTCTACACTCACCATACGAAGCACAGCAGTTTTAAACTGCTATTTTACGCTGGTATTGTGAGAGCGTGGTCCTTCCCCGGTCGAGCCGACCCATTCGTGCCACAACTATACTACTAATATAGCTGCAGTGTGGCTCTACCATGTAGAGAATTTAAATCACATAATACCAGTGTGATAAAAGATTAATCACTTTTGTATTGGGGACTTTTTAGGGTACGTATTAGGTATATTTTTCCTATGTTTTAATTAGTTACTATGCTGATAGTTACGATTCTTTAGTTTCTTTATTTATCACAATCACCCAATTTGAGCATAGCAATCACTCGCATGTGACGATAAAAACTCGCTTTTGAAAGCGGAAAATACACCCATAAATGCCAATAACTATTTACGTAATGGCCGCAAGGTTGAGGAAATATGCGTAAACGTTTATTGAACTGTTAATTATAAATAGTTATGTTTCAAACTGGAAAATCCTTTAACTAAACATTTTATTAGTTTAGGTACAGACATTTATATTACGTAGAAAGATGTTATTCATTAATAGCATCAATCTGTGTTGCGGAACTTTCAAAATGACATATTTATCCGGATTTTGCAAAACATATTTTAAAGAGAAAGATTGAATGAAGAAAGAGTGACAAACCAAAATTATGTTGAACGCCTTTTGTCTGATAGATCCCTACGACTGCGTTCGGAGAGCCAGGACAGCGCTTTTGAAGAAAAGCGTATTTTGTATGGTTCTAATAATTTACAAGAATATACCTACCAAGATAATTAAAGGACTTAAAAAGAATTACGGTACTTAAATACAATTTAAGCAAAAACTGCGAATAGGAAATACTAACTTTAATATATTAATATATAATTTTGACACTGATATTTTTTTCTTTGATTTTTTTTTAGTTTTCGGTGACCTTTCACTCAATTATATTTGTAAACTGTAAAAGGCAAAACGGAAACTTTAATATTATTTCTGTCAACATCATATAAGCATGTTTTGTGTCCCCATGTTTAGACAAATAAATTTTATTGTATTTGAAAATAAGAAAGTTTGAACGGGGAATTCAGATTTATTTAAAAAACTAAAGTGAAATTTGTATATTTTTATTAAATTAAATAAAAATAAAACCGGCCAAGTGCGAGTCGGACTCGCGCACCGATGTGCCGATGGTTCCGAACAAATCCGTAGGGATATAAGTTTAAAATTATTAAAAATATTTTTATTATATGATGTAACTAAAATTTTATGCTTTTCGCAATTTTTTCTTTATCTGTGCTATATAATTCGTTGCTTCGTACCAAATTTTAAGATTCTGAGTTCACGGAAAGTGACACTTGCGAATGTCGAAAATTTGCGGCATTAACGGCTATATCTTTTGAGTGCGTTGTCTTAGAAGTTTGATTTTTTCACAGCTCCAAGGGACAGTAGACTTGAGTATTTGATATGAATTTCAGCTTGATACCTCCACGCGTTCCTGAGAAAAAGGGTCTTTGGCAGACAGACAGACGGACAACAAAGTGATCCTATAAGGGTTCCGTTTTTTTTTTTTTGAGGTACGGAACCCTAAAAATAGCGGTTATCATGGAAATTTATTAAATAAAACGGGAAAAATAAAATTTGAATAGTTTTTTTTTATAGAATAAGAGTGACAAACGAGGCAGTGGTAAGTGGATGATAGACATCTACATTTATCCTTGATTAAGAATCTAAATGAAGACTACACTCTACTCTGTAGGCAAATCCGGTACACTTTCAGTCAAATGGTTAACCTTATGTTCCGTTATTTGTTGCCCATAAATTTTCAGTACGTTTATGAGCTGACTGTTGACAATTCTATATAGCAGGCTTTAAGGCTCCTTTTAATTGATCCCATAAATATTCTATGAGGTGGGAAGACTCGTGACTTGCCGTGACAAAACCGCGATACTGGCTTGCGAATGTGCATCTTGTGCGGTACGCGTCGTATGTGCGCTCACATTATCTTGCATTGAACACTGACTGAGCGCCTACTCTATGTGAAAATTGGACATGAGATCGGATAATTCGCGTGAAGTAATTGGCGGCGGTTACAGTAGGCTGTACCTTCATCCAGAATTACCAGCAACACTTCCGGTTTTTGTTAGAGTCACAACAAACCGATATGTATTTACCTGCCGGTCTTTTTTCTTTCCCGATAACTGGTACATGGATAGGTAGTTATCGGGGGCCATTAGATCTTTTTGCCATATCCAATTATTGCCTCTTACGACAACCACGGGACGAAATGAAGTTATGGATTCACATACTCCGCCACCATACAACTTACTCGTACCCAAACTATAACTTAAAAAACCAGACAAACTTGAGTAGGACTAGCGCTCTAAGGGTTCCGAATAAACTTAATTATGTATGTAGATAGTTCATCTATCCCAGGAATCGAAATTGCTACTTGCTAACTTTATTGGTTTTAGGTCAAGTGGGCGAAATATTACCATATAGATTTTGATGAGTGAGTTTGCAGGTATCAAAATATGTATAAGTACATGTTTTAATTGCGTTGACTGCTGTGAAGCTTGAATTTGATAATAAATTTCAATTTGATACCTGTACCCGTTACTGAGAAAAAAGGTCTTGACAGATGGACAACATTGTTAAACTATAAAGTTTCCATATTTTATTTCTTTTAAGATACGGAACCCTAAAAAATAGACGTATATAAACACGTAATAGATACACGTAAATATGGGTGTTAGAGGTTAAACGTTAAACACACGATATTTTTTTAACTACCAACCTTACCCGCATATGGGGCACTCTGCTGACGGACAGATTAAGCCCAGGCGATATTTTTTTATATATATAGAGTATATAGAGAGTAGTATGGGTGACACACGAGCACACAGTCCACCTGACGGTTAGTGGACGTTGTGGCCCATGACATCTACATCTACCCTCGATTTATAATCAAAATGCAGATGCGTTGTCGCCCCTGAGGACTAAGATGGAATGCCTCGATTCCTGTAAAAGGGTCTCTAGTTCTCTACACAGTACCAACCAAAAATACGAAACTCAAATATTAGACTTCATACAATTAGTGTTAGAGGATCAGCCCTGCGTTCACCACAATACGTTAGCCTAGTGTGTTAGTACCAGGCAAATCTTCTTATTATGAAATGGGACATGGCCCCTTCTTCGAAAGACCAATATCCTACAGAAGATTAAAAATACTAATAAAGAACAAGAATCTAGACTATTTCAGATTTTTTGCTTTGGAATATTTTTTTTTTGTAATGTATAAAGAAGGCATTTTGTTCTGCGCTTGACGCTCGCCAAAACGAGCACTCTAATTCACTCCAATACAATTTTACGTGCTAATTGTACGTTTTTTTTATAAAACTGAAGTTACAAAAAACTTACAGTCCACCTGATGGAAAGGGACTAGAGCAGCCAATAGACCTGCAAATATCCACCTCTAAGGACTACGACGAAATGCCTAAAACTGACTTATAATTCTCATAGTATACTTGAGACCGACCGGAACACTGCTGCTTGGCGGCTGCGTAAGAGTAGGTACCAAGACGGACTCCTAGGCTTCTGCCGAGTTTTACGGTGAGAGTCGTAGCACCAGG